AGACCCACCAAGCTAACCGTGTTCTGCAATTCAAACTCATAGAAATTGTGTGGGATAATTAGCATTTATTAGTTTAAAATTATAAGGTTCGTAGAAATTTGTTATGCAGAAATAGAAAATAAACAAATAATTAGAAATATTAAAGGATTCCAAGCCCTAAGAAAATGGCATGACATTGTTAAATAACAAAAAAACAATAGAAAATATTGAAAAAAAATCAAATTGGCCTTCTTGATTTGAGAAATAAAATTAATGATATAAAACTCTCAGTGCATGAATTAAATAGCAGAAAGACAACATTAATATTATAATTACTTAACTGGAAAATAGCTATGAGGAAATTTTAGGATACAGCATATAAATATAGAGAAGGAAAATGGGAAAGGTAGATTTATTTGAAGGATCGATCATAAAAGCTAATGGAGTTCCAGAGAGAAAAAAAAAATTGAGGAAAAGCAATTTTCAAAGATATAATGGCCACGAATTAATGTAACACATGGATTTAAGAAGCCTAGTGAACCTCATATAAAATATTATAAGAAGAATAATATTTTAAGAAGAATAGGTCTAGACTCATGGAAATTTAACTCAGAAAACAACAAAGAAAAGAGAAGATTATGTTTAAAACAGCCAGAGATTAATATACAATTACAAAAGGACTACAATTAGACTGATAGCTGACTTCACAATAGCAAGAATGGAAATTAGAAGACAGTTGAATATTATATTCAAAGTTCTGAGAAATTTTAACAGATAGTCTAGAGCAAAACCGAACTCAGGAACGAGAGTGAAAAAGGCTTTCAGAGTATAACATCCAAAATCAAACAAAAAATGATTTTATTGTGCTAGACTCTTACCAAATGAACTGTATAAATGTGGACATCAAATAGAGACAAATGAATTCAGAAAGGACTAGATGCAAAAGGGAATAGACAGCAAAGAAAGATGAAATAGTACCATTTGCAACAAAATGGATGGATCTTGAGATTATTATGCTAAGCAAAATAGACAGAAAAAGTCGAGAACCATATGATTTCAGTGATATGTGAGATATAAAACAAAGCTACAAAGGAACAAGATAAACAAAGAAACAAAAACTCATAGACACAGGCAATAGTTTGGTCATTACCAGAGGATAATGGGGGAGGGGGGTGGTAGATGAGGATAAAGGGGATCAAATATATGGTGATGGAAAGAGAACTGACTCTGGGTGGTAAACACCCAATGTGATACATAGATGATGAATTACAGAATTGTACACCTGAAACCCATGTAACTTTACTAACCATTGTCACCCCCAATAAATTTTAATAATAAAAAAAAAGAAAATGGCAAACACATGGGGAAGTCTGGCTATACCAATGGATGATGAGTATGAAATCAACCAGAATCTTTGTACCCTGCTGAGAAGTATAGAAATTGGTGCAATTACTTTGGAAAACAGTTTGGCGTTATCCAGTAAAGGTGAAGTTGTGCATGCTCTGTGACCAAGCAGTTCCACTCCTAGATACAAGAGGAGAAATGTATGATGCAAATGAAACCTCAAACGGAATCAACTCAAAAACCACTCATGGTAGAATGGCTAAAAATCATGTAATGTATTAATATAGTGAGATATTACACAACAGTCAAAATAACTGCACTACAAGAATACACATGACGATGGATGGATTCATGCACAATGTGAGGAAAAGATCAAGTTCAGAAGATTTTATACAGAATGACTCCATTCATCTAAAGTTCAAATCTAAACAAGTTTATTTATTTAAAAAGGACCTACATGGTGCTCACTGTACATAGTCACTATTCTATGAATTTTCATAATGGTAACACAATCACATCATGACCTAATAAATAAGCATTATAAAAGATTGTTTAGTATATATATATATATATATATATATATATGTATATATATATATATATACAAATGAGCAAAATGAGTGATAATCTCTGTCATAAACTTATACTATGTAATTGAAATGAGAGATTTCTCTGACTGCCTATAAACTGTTTTATTGCAGTGATGGCATAATTGGCTTTAAATCCATTGAACCTATTGTGCATAACATAGGGATGTTGTTAATAAATGTTCATTAAATAATTTACTGTATAAATTAATTAGTTTCTATACATTTCTTCTCAATTCTATAATTTCAGAAATTATTACTTTAAGAGTTCAAACACTTCTAGATGAGCACTTCTAGTTTAGTTTTCCCTTGCAGCCTTCAGCCTTGAATATGTGAGGATGTGTGAAACAAAGATTCGGAAACATTAGCTTCACTGTGGCAATGGAAGAACAAAGTTTATTTACCTGGTAGACTAGAAGGATTAATCACACCTTGACTCTGGTTCCTTATGTCTGCATCTGGAACTCCTTTGGTTCCTGCTGATCTTCCAAGGCCTGTTGGGAAGCCTCCTATTGATTCGGTGAGCTCCAGTAGTTTTTCAATAATTTTAATCTGCATCTTTACCTCTTTGTGTAATCAAAGATATCCACAGTTATTTGCCATTACTAAGACCCAGAACCCCAATTTATACGTTCGCATAAGGAAGTTCAGCAGATTAGCAATTACTATCAAATATTCTTTATTATGTTGTCACGTGAAGCATACTTTGAAAAGCTTTTTGTGTAAAATATTTAAAGAAATCAAAAATCTGCTAAATAGTACCTGTGTATTGTTTTTTGTCAAGGTAATTTGCCGGTGGACCTTCCAACTCCTCCTGAAACTTCAGTTCCGGTAACATTACCTCCACACAACTGTACAGACAATGAATTTGTCTGCAGGTCCAGTGGTCATTGTGTTGAAAAAATCCAGAAATGTGATTTTAGATATGACTGCCCTGATAAATCAGATGAATCATCTTGTGGTAAGTGAGTGTCTAAATTATTTATTAAATGTAACCATAAACCAGATCAGAAAAATGCTAGCATAATCTCTAAGTAGCATGGCCTAGTGTCATAGTTAGAAATGTTCAGCCTGGCTCAGAACAATCTCTTAATGTAGAAGCTATTTGTTGAGAAAATTATTATAGAAGAATCAGCATGCCCTTCTATCATGCCCAACAAGAGGTAAGTTTCTTTAATGTTTTGGATTTAAAATGCTTATTTTCATGGACTTTACTTGACTCCAGGACTGTCATTTACTAGCTCATTTTTATCCATTCCCATTTGGCTCTATTCTATTCACACTCATGGGTTAATTAATATATCTTTGAATGGGCAAAACACAAAATCAGGAGTGAACACTTTTCCTTTCCCTGCTTTTTATTGAGTAGCATGTTTATTTACTGTACTATCATATTTGTCAAGGGTCCTTATAATATTACAGGTTCAGAACATACAGATAATAGAGTCTAGTGAAACTAATTTATCTTATGTCAGCCTTGTCAAGAAATTCTCGAACTTTAAAATAAAAAATGGTTCATATTTATTCTTTTTTATTAAGAGGATATTCAATTATTTATTGATTACACATGCTAATGGATGATACACAAACGTCATTCCCATCTACAATTTTATCTTGCACATAATTCAGTTTAAATATGTTGCATAGGATGTGCCAACAATCATTAATAACCAAATAAACTACATGACTCTGCTTGGGTGACCCTTTTGATGGTGATCTCCAGGTCACAACACAGTAACTGTCAATTTAACTACACCAAGGTTTCCGAAGACAATGGCTTCTGTGCCCTAGCAGGTTGTAAATACATTTTAAATGGAACCTGGAATCACCCTGATGGAAATGTAACTTAACACTGCTGGGGTAATTTACCAAGATGGCTTCAGAGTAGACTAAATTTACACAGCACATTTTTTTAAAAAGACACATTTATTCAGTGTCATGATCAGGCTATTAGAATTAGCAATCAACAGCATGGGTGCAAAAAAAAAAATCCACATTAAACCTTTTGTTGGAATGTTTTACACTTTCCACAGAACAGAAACTACAATAACCTGTTATACAACTAGTCACAAGTACAGTCCTCGAGTTTTTGCCCATACACATGAATATTGTCTAAATCATCTCTTCTTTGTAGCAGCCAGGCCCTGCTACCACTGTGCTTAGCTGAGTTCACAAATCTGTTGTAACCCGTAGTTTCCCTGTCACTTCTCTGGCTCTCCTCTCCTGCTAAGCTTTGTTTCTTCACAGTCATTGCCATAGGTACTGCTGCTGCTGCTGGAACCGCCATAGCCACCTTGGTTTCATGATTTGGCAAAGTATTGGCCTCCACCACCATAATGGCCAGAACTTCTGCCTCCGAAGACTCCTCTTTCTATGGGTCCAAAAATTGAAGATTGATTGTTGTAATTGCCAAAATTATTGTAGCTTCTGCCACCTCCAAAATTGCGTCTGTCATTACCAAACTCATATAGCCATCCCTACTGTCACCATATCCTCACCACCACAGCTGCCACCAAAGTCACTTCTACCACCGAAGTTTCCTCCATGACCAACGTTGTTGTTCTCACCAAAACCACCTCCTCAACCACCACTGAAGTTTCAGAACCACGTCGACCTCTTTGGCTGGACAAAGCACTAGCCATCTTTTGCTTAGATAGGGCTTCCCTTACGTCACAGTTGTGGCCATTCACAGCATGGTATTTCTGAATGACAGTCTTGTCTACAGAGTCATGGTCATCAAAGGTTACAAAAGCAGAGCCTCTGTTCTTGCCACTGCCTCTGTCATTCATGATTTCAGTCACTTCAATGTTCCCATACTGTTTGAAATAATCTCTTAGGTGATGTGCTTCAGAGTCTTCTTTAATACCACCCACAAAAGTCTTTTCCACAGTGAAGTGGGCACCAGGTCTTGGAGAACCTTCTCTTGAGACAGCCCTGTTTGGTCCCACAACTCTTCATCTACCTTGTGTGGCTTTGCCTTCATGGCTGCACCCACCTGCTCCACAGTGGCACACGTGACAAACCCAAAGCCTCTCGGGAGCTTGGTGTTTGGGTTTCTCATCACCACACAGTCTGTGGACGCCCCCCACTGCTCAGAATGGCTCTTTGGACTCTCATCCGTCGTTTCAAAGCTCAAACCTTGGATGAAGAGCTTCTGCAGCTGTTCAGGCTCTTTGGGAGACTCGAACTTAGACGTGAGGACTGCGGGAGGGGAGACTTTAACGATATTTACTCGGGGTTTCCACCTACAGAAAAGCTCGTATTTATTCTTTTAAGCCAGAAAAAAAAATGCTTCTTAATGAAAACTAGATAAATAAACTAATTAATCTAAACTAAAAACTCACACAATGAAAGATGACTCACTCTGTGAATGAGATGTGACAGTAATGAACTGAAGTGGCTAGGGATATACACTATGCGTCACAGATGGAAGATAAATAATGGAAGACGTTATGGTATTCATATTTTCTCATGGGAAAAGGCTAAAATTCCCTTATGATTGGACCTAAGTTGTAGTGTTTGTAAAATTTACAGAATGTCTAATTAATTACACCTAATGAGTGTCTCTAGTGAATACTGACTGTCTTAGATCAACTTTGCAATTTTAGTAATTTATGATTGGATGGGAAGTCTTGTTACGTTCTTTAAATGTCCTGAATGAATGTCTACTAATAAATTATTATTTTAAAGTCACAGGGATATTTATTTATTTTGAATAAACATGAATTGAGTTATTATCATTTTATTTCTGCAAATTGTTTGATTGTGCCACTTCTATCTCTTCGTAGGATACAATGTTATGATAAAGTGTGTCTGGAATCTACAGTCTTACATTTTCTATTTTTTTAATTGGGGGTAAGAATATAAAATGGAATCTACCCTTTTAACAAGTTTTTAAGTGTGCAGTACGTTCTTGTTGTATAGCGATATTGTATAGCAGATGCCTGGAGCTTCTTCCTCTTGCTTGACATAAACTTTATGCTCTCTAATTGCTTTTTTTTAAATCTGAAATTCGTATCTTTTTTAGTGCTATGAAGAACAAGATTTTACTGAACCCTAAATCTCTGCACAAGATAAATATAATTATATGATCAATCCGAATGTCAGGGATTAAGTAACACACCTGAATATCATGATTAAACATCACCTTTTTTTTCATGGAATGTTTCCATCTCAAGATTTACATTAAATCTTGAGCCCAAGTTTCTAAGTGATGTAGTGGTATGCTGTCACTATTTATGCCACTTAAAAGCTGGAGTGCACACCAGGCTTTTTATGGTATACACAAGAACTCATTGAATTGAATCTTTTATTCAAGGAGTGGAGGATTTAAGACAGACAGGCACATAAACAGATTCAGAGACATAGAGATAGAAAGATAGATAGACAGATAGATAGATGATAGATAGATAAACATTTTCACATGCATCTATGTATTTAAAAATACTGGACTTGTAATTTTGTGTTCTATTAAAGTGTAGTCATAATAATATTGAAAATTTCCAAAGAAAAAGATCCAATATAAAAGTTATTGCAAATCTTACTGTTTTGCGCTTAAGTAATTGGGAATTTGGAATGACTCTTTCAGAAACTGAGCTAAAGTTTAGCTTTGTAATATTATTGTTGAAAATAATAGACTTACCAGAACTTGGCGGTCATGCAAACAATGTAAGTGTTATGTCAGAAGAGACTGGAAATGCTTAAGTTTCTGCTTTAGGGGCTAATTAAAATCTCACCTTCTTATGAAAGCAGATTCTTTATCCCCATATCTCAAATTGAATATATTACACTTAGATTTCTTTAAAACTCTTCTACTAATTACACAAACCATTGCCTAATTATTTGAATTATGCTTAAAAGTTAGATGATAACAAAAGAAAACCCAAGAGTAGGAAAGTGCTGATACAGCTAGAAATCACCATTTATTGGCTCTTTTATTTTGATTAGCTGACCTTTATTCCACCCTATTCCAGCTATGGAAGTTTGCAGCTTTGAAAAAGGAAACCTGTGTGAATGGTACCAGCCAATCCCAGAACATTTAATTCAAGATTCAAACACATTCAGGTGGGGACTCGGTAATGGAACCAGTATTCACCATGGGGAAGAAAACCACAGGCCATCGGTGGATCACACAAAGTAAGTGACCACATATTTTGAACATGTCTCTTAGGACCTATTTATTAAGCAGTTCCCCAATTTCTGCCCCACCACCTTACCCTAGGCCAGTGCTTTTGTAAAGATGAAGGTTTCACTTACAGAATGACAGGGCTAAGTTCATTCTTTCACAAAAAATTAAAAAAAAAAAATTCAACTAGAAAAGGAGTGGTTGCTCTTGTGAAAGTCTTGGAAACCAGAGAATAGCCTGAGTAAGTAAAGGAAAATAATTTGTAATATCACTACTCACTGGAAACACTGTTCAGAAGTTTAAAATGATCTATTCTTTCTTCCCCACCGAAGAAATTCCTTCTCTCCTCCTCCTTCCAGCTCCTTCTTTGTCTCCTTGCCACTATACCTCTTCTTCTAATCTTTGCTCTTCATCATCATTTATTTGGGTCTTTCCTGTCTTATTTTAAAATATATTTTTTAAGGGTTGGCCGAGTGGCGTGTTGGTTAAGACTTGGCTTGGGACGCCAGCTTTGAGCAGCAGGACCCGGGTTTGGATCCCACATGGGCCAGTGATGCTGCGCCCTCTACAGCTAAGATGGTGAACAACAGCTCGACCTGGAGCTGGGCTGCCATGAGTCACCAGCGATGGCTTAGGCTGCAGTGGGGCTGGCTGGCAGTGGGCATGAGCTGCCGTGAGCCGCAGTCCAATGGCCAGCGAGCGACTGCCTCACCTGGGAAGAGTGCAGTGATAATACCAACGTGGGCCAGTGAAGCGATGTCCTGTACAACTAGACTGAAGAACAAAAGGACAGCAACTTGTCTGTTCCCCTTCCCCGATTCCCCAACGCTGTTCCCTCCCCCAATTCCCTAATAATATCTTAAAAAAGAAAAAATATATTTTAAAAAATATAGCTAACACACAATATTATATTAGTTTTAGGTATACACAATAGTTTTTCAACATTTATATACCTGAAGAAGTGATCACCATGATAATTCCAGCAACCATCTGACACTGTACCACGCTATCACAATATTATTGCCTAGATTCTCTATGCTGTACTTTACATCCCCATGACTTCTGTATTATATACATGGATATTTGGACCCCTTTTCCCCTTCACCTTTTCCCCCTTTTTTAAATAGCTTGAGTCTTATATAATATACCACAATGGGTCTTTTCTTTCAAGGTCATACCTTTCCCCTGTTTTGTAGTCCACAAATACAAGGGTGGCAAAAAAATGTATACACATTTTAAGAAAGGAAAAACCTGTATTAAAATTGTAATACTCAATATATATTCCAATAACAAAAGATGAATAGAGGTCCTGTTTGACTTAATGCAATTGCAGGAGGTACTCAAATCATCAGCGTCCAGATCTGGCATTTCTGATTACGGCAAACGACTGCTTGAGCAACGTTGACCAAAGTGTTAACATCTTTTAAAATGTGTATGCATTTTTTGGCACCCCTGGTATATTGAGTGATCCCTGTTCTACAAGATCCCAGCCATCGTGCTTTCCTTTAAAGATTTCAAGGAACTGTCACTGAAGATGACAAAGGAATCCCCATTTACATTACAGAGAATCTAGTCAAAACTTTGATGCCTTCACACTTCTCCACTGTTAAAGCTTCAGGACACCCAGTTTCTATGGCTACTGCTTCAAAGAAAACCAAGGGTGTATCTGCCGCCAGGCCATGATTGCCTTGTACTCAGGGAGAGCCAGTCATGGTTCCTTCAGTGTACTGTGGTTTTCTTTTCCTGGGCTGACTTTTTTTACTCTGGTTTTCTGAGCTCCCTTTTCTTCTTGTTTTTGTTCTATTAAAATGGTTCCAGTTTTACCATCATTTGATTTCAACATTAGCATCCCAGTTGCCCAAAGTATATAGACTAGCAGATATTAATACTTGGATAACATAATAGTTGGCAAGTAATTTTTGAAATTTTATTATACAACATATCCTTGGGCTGCTTCTCACTCATAAAAAAGCAAAGGGTGATTTCAGCAAGTTTCTCTGGCTCACGCAAATCAATTGCCCTTTATTAATCATCTGTATTTCCATAAAGCAAAAGGCACACTAGATCTCACTTCTAAGTGGTAGTAAAGGTATATGGTGACTTATTATAAGCACAATAGTATCATTGGCTTTTAATGTTTGTCTCTCACCCCACCAGCCCACCTCCAAGACACTGCAGATTCCTGGAGTAGCCACAGGAACTGTGACTTCTCACTGTATGATTATTTCTAAGCGACCTGTAGATAATAGGTCTCCATAAATATTTGTTGAGTGAATTAGTTGATTAGGATCTATATATTAATGCTTTATAATGATAGGCTACCAAGCACAAAATTAAATATATTTTTAACAGGAATACCTAATAGTCAGAAAATGATTAACAGATGTGCTCGGTGTGACAGCGAGTCACGGAGACAGGAGCAGTGACTCAGCTTACATCTCCTCTAGCATTCCTTTCCCCTCCTCTCTCGGCTTCTTCCTCAGCCAAGGGAGGTCTGACATTTTTTCCTTCTCATGCATCATATAACTTACTCTATGGCTTATAGTAAAATTCCAAGTTCAGTTTTCCAAATTTTGATTTTTGTATTTAAATGGGAACTTGTCTAATTTCGAAAATGCTCTTCTTTCTCAGTTGTCTGGCTTTAGAAATTTAAAGCCAGGTTTTTAAGACCATTGTGTCTGAACAGTTTTCAAGACTAGTTTTGAAAATCAAAAAGCTCTGTGCCAATTCTTTCTTTCTCTTCACATCCCATGATCCCAGTTCTCCTTAAATAAAATTACATAGGTTCCAAGTATACCTTTCTATAATGCATCATCTATATAGCACATTGTGTGCTCACAACCCAGAGTCAGTTCTCCTTCCCTTATCATTTATTTGATCCCTTTTACCCTCATCTACCACCCCCCTCCCCTCTTACCCTCTGGTAACCACTAAACTGTTGTCTGTATCTATGAGTTTTTTTGTTTGTTTGTCTTGTTTGCTTTCAGTTTTTATATCCGATGTATGAGTGAAATCATATAGTTTTTTACTTTTTTCTGTCTGATTTACTTTGCTTGCAATGATAGTTTTGAGATCTCTATGTTGTCATAAATGGCAGTATTTCATCTTTTGTTATGGCCAAGTGATATTCCATTGTATATATGTACCACATCTTCTTTATCCAATCATCTATTGAAGGACATTTTGGTTGTTTCTATCTCTTGGCCACTGTGAACAATGCTTCAACGAGCATAGGAGGACATATATCTTTATGGTTAAATGTTTTCAATTTTTTTGCATACATACCCAGAAGAGGGATTGTTGGGTCATATGGTAATTCTATTGTTAATTTTTTGAGGAACTACCATATTATTTTCTATAGTAGCTGCACCAATTTCCATTCCTTGTATACTAGCAGTGTACAAGGGTTGCTTTTTCTCCACAACTGTTCCAACACTTGTTATTACTTGTCATGTTCATAGTAGCCATTCTTACAGATGTGAGGTAGTATCTCATTGTGGTTTTGGTTTGCATATTCTAATAGCTAGTGAAGTTGAGCATTTTTTCATATATATCTGTTGGCCATTTGTATGTCTTCTTGAGAGAAGTGTCTGTTCAGGTCCTCTGTCCATTTTTTAATTAGATTCTTTTTTTCATTGTTGAGTTGTATGTGGATAATTAGCCCCTTATCGGAGGTGTTGCTTGCACAATATCTTCTTTTATTTGACTGGTTGCCTCTTTGCTTTGTTGATGGTTTCTTTTGCTGTGCAGAAGCTTTTTTAGTTTGATATAGTCCTGTTCATTTATTTTTGCTTTTATTTCCCTTGACTTTGAGATCAAATTCTTAAAATCCTTTCTAAGGACAAGGTCCATAAGTTTAGTACCTATGTTTTCTTCTATACAATTTATTGTTTCAGGTCTTATATTTAGGTCTTTGATTCATTTTGAGTTAATTTTGGTACATGGTGATAGATAGTAGTCTAGAAAGTTCTCCACACTTTATTGTTCTTATGGAATGATGTATAGTGGAATATGTGTGCATATGCTAGGATAGTAGATTCTAATGGTGCTCATAGAATCTTTAGGTTTTTCTCAAGATGTGGATTGATGGCCGTTGAAAATATATGTATACACTATATATTTAAATGCATATTCTGAAACACTTGGATCAGAATCTCAGGGAATAGAGGTAGGAATCTGTATTTTTAGTACAGTTTCTTGATGATGCTAGAACCTCATTCAGGGTTCAGCAGAAAGTGAGGAAGATATGACCAAAAGGCGGAGGGTGGCTTCTTACTTCCTAATTCCAATTTTGATGAGAGTAGATTCATTTTTCTCAAAATCTAGTGACTCACATAAAAAAAACAGTACAACATATTTCAGAACAAACAAAAAGATTGTTCTAAGGTAATTGAATTGTAAATTAAAATAAAATCTGTGTGTTTAAAGCAACTATTATAACTGAGAAATAGTTTGGGGTAAAACTCTACCCTGAGTCAACAACCTAAGACACATAATTTCAAGGCACCCTCTGCATTGCCTCATTCACTGAATAATAGCCAACATATTTTCCCAAACCTTTTTGCCTATGTGTTCTTTTCTCTAATTCTAATCAAAATGACCCCCCATATTTCTGTTAGAAGAAAACAAAATGTACCAATCTCATGATTATCTGGAAAAGATAGATATTTTATAATGTTGTTCAATTTAGGGTTTGATTACAGATGGTTGAAAAACTAGGTGAGTATGAACATCTCATTCAAAATGCTGATTAGAGGGAACAGAATTTCTTAAATATTTTGCTTGTTTGTAACATAGAGGTACTTTTTCTTAAAATTTTCTTTTTATATGTAACACTAATTGTTGTCTTTCAGGTGGAAATGAATTATAGGCCCCATGTTGCAAATGCACTACCTTCCAGTCTGTATTATGCATTCGTATAGGCTTGACATCATAAACTAAAAGCCACATAAATAATGCAAATTGTCTCTGTGACATAACTATGCATACCATAATGTAACTAAGTGCTGGA